TCTGACTGCATTTATTTTTTTACAAGCATGCGTCATAGCGTCGCCTCTAAACACGCATGCGGGACACAGTATCACAACAACAATGGTGCCGTACTGTGTTGAATGGTTGCTGCTCATGCTACTCACCCTGCTGTCGGGCTTACAACAATATCTTCTTCTTCTGGAATATCTCCAGGAAGAACAGAGCAATATCGACGACATAGTTCAGCACCTCAATTTGACTGAACCACGAAAATGGACCCGCAGAGCCATTTTCCGGTTTTCCGGTTTGGTTGTTGTATAAATATTTCTGCGCATGCCCAACATTTCGTTGCCTGTTTTCGCCTATTTTTGCTTTGGCACGACAGCGCCACTTACAGGCCTGGCATACATTTTGCAGCGTTTTCATGCATTCATGTGGTCGATCACATTTATTTTACGTCTCCGTCTTTAAGACAAACGTTCTGGAAAATAGTAGCGTTTCGTGTTTGTTTTGACTTCGTGTAGCTGACAGACAAAGGGAGGGCTAACGAGCTGACAAGGAGCAGGTGTGAGGAGACAACGAGGGAGCCAAGGGGAAAGGAACACACACACACACACAAGGGCAACAGAGGACAACAGAAAAACATGAGAACATAAATCTAGAAACTACAACAAAACTGGAATTTAACCAATAAAACTAGAAAACAAGGAGCAAAGTAAAGAACAACGGAACCATCAATTCAAACTAGCTTTACCGTTCCTTCTAAAGAAGAGCATCCCCTCTGCATGATTTTACTACCACCGTATTTTCACCATGGGCACGTTGGGTTCAAACCAGAGATGGGAAGTAACGAAGTACAAATACTTCGTTACTGTACTCAAGTAGATTTTTCTGATATTTTTACTTTACTTTACTACTTATTTTTATGGCGACTTTTTACTTCTACTCCTTACATTTTTACACAAATATCTGTACTTTCTACTCCTTACATTTTTACACAAATATCTGTACTTTCTACTCCTTACATTTTAAATAATTGGCTCGTTACTTTAGTTTTGAATCATTTCAATGGAGTTACCGTTATTATTTTTCACGTCATCAATACCAAATTCAATCTAATTGGATGGGAATCTACGTTGCATTTGACGCACCACTACAAGATGAATCGACAGATTCGGAGGTATTCATTGGCGGCAAATCATTGCAGCTTGGTGGCGGTGGCGTTAGCATAGTAGCATGGACGACAAGATGATTGAAAATGAACACAACAGAGATCTAGTCCTATTGGCAGACATCCATTTAAAATGTAGGCAACGGCATGAAAAAAGTGGTTTCTACTTTTACTTTTATACTTTAAGTAAATTTACAAGCCTGTACTTTGTTACTTTTACTTAAGTAAAGAAGTTTAATCAGTACTTCCACTTTTACCAGAGTATTTTTTAACACAAGTATCTGTACTTTTACTCAAGTACGGAAAGTGAGTACTTTTGCCATCTCTGGTTCAAACTATGCATAGCCTCATCTGATTGTATATTTTAAACCATATAATTTGGATTAATTTGACCTGAGTTCCCTTTTCAGGACTTGTTATAATTTACATAACTTGTGCCAAGCTGGAAACGGGAATTTGTATCTTTATCTTTTCTCAACAGCGGCCTTGTCCTTGTAGCTCTAACATTAAAGCCGTATCTGGAGTGTAGTTTACTGATAGGTGTTAAATGTGGGGATTCTTCCACCTTTGCTGTGTATCTTTAAGCCTCCTTCAGGGTAACCAAGGGCTCTTCAGCTAACTTTAATGCTGTCATTGATATAAATGTAAAGCTTGTTTCTATTCTTCCTGCCCATGCATGTTATTTGAGAATAATCATCTTTTTTTTAGCAGATTTTGAGATGTTATCATCTTGAAAACTGTCTGTGATTTTAAAATACTCACACACTGGTTTGCAACCCAGTGCTCAGCACTTTTTGTGAGTGTGAGGAAATACGAAGAGACGTCTAATTTCTGTCTCACTCGCATTGTTTCTTCTCGCTCTCTCTATGATTCTTTCTGCTCGGCTGGCATCTTTAAAACTTTTGCTGCCAGAACTTGTCATTGAACTTTGTGGCAGCCGTGTCTGACAGGATGCTTTTATTGGGGGCTTCTAGAGGCAATAGCAAATGGACGGGCAATTACGTTTATGGCCAGTTTGAAGTGACAACCCTGCATATTGGATGGTCTTTTAAATAGGAGCCATCAGCTACAATGGTTCTCCCAGAGCTGAAAACAAAAACAAGGGGGCTATTTGAACTGTCAGCATAATGCCAACCGACCACTCCACTCGTCTCCCTCTGTTCACCACAATGACTGCATGATTGGCTGCCCTGCAGCTTTATATATCAAACACAGGAGTGCTCTGGCAAAGGTTTCTTACCTCAAGACAGTGAGAGGTTTTTCAGTGCTGTGATGTCACTCCTTAAATTGGTTCAGATTTCCCAGTGATGCTCTCACTCTTTAAATGTTCTGTTCGAAGGAGGCTTAAGAGAAAGAGTTTTTTTTTAATCCTAAATGTTGTTCAGATATAAACACTAATCAAACAGTACTGATCTTATTCTAAACACCAGCCCACTAGTTCACATATTTTAACAGACTTCTCAGTTCAGATAATCTGCATATCATAAACATTGTCTTGGCAACTTGTCCTGTGTCAGCTGGAACGCAAAAGCAGAAAAATGTATCTGTATTGGGGCAGATAGTCATGGTTGTCATCTGTATTCATATCAACGTTTTTTTTTCTGCGTATAAGTCATAAAATACAATGATTAAAGCTCCATGTTTTAACAGCCTCGGCCAGCTTGGCCATATTTTTCTCAAAGTTATTTAAACATATTTGTGGGTTTATATAGTTTAGCACCCCGTTTTATGTTTTGGAAAAAGCATAGCACTTGCAGCTAAGCTAAATATCTGTTCAGGATGACAACTTTTGGCCACATGTTTTAATAGCTTTATGTTTAATGCATTTCTGCAGTCTCTTTTGCTTTGCATTGTATTTATGTATTGTGTTAGCAAATAAACATATGCAAACTGCCCTGCCACCTGTGCAGAATTCATTCAGACAATAAATGCATGTTTTGATCATAAGTAAGGAAATGACTACAGGAAAACAAATCACTCCACTAAACCTGCACATACCTGCAGTCAGAGTCATAATTAAAATGTTTATAACAAATGAAACTGTGAGAAACAAGGTTGGATAAAGACTTAAGAATTTTTTTTATTGTCAGCACACACAGTGAGAAGGAAGGCATTAGAGGTAAGAAACCCACTGATCAAAAATCGGTTTAACCCTTTAAAGCCCAATCCAAGAATAAAACAAAACAGAAAATAACTTTTTTTTGGTTTGAATTCCTTATTTGCACTTTTAACAAAATATGTAAAAAGAAAAAACAGAAATATATTTTTGATATTAATAATTTATTACCATGCGAGAAGTCAAGATTATTTTTTGTGTAGTCTTCTACTGGCTGTTATCAAGTATATCTGATTTGGAACAATAGGATTTTGAGCAAAGTTTTTACCATTAAATTATGCAAAAGGCGTCAGATGCAAAACATTTCAGAAACCGTATGTATCAAATACGATACATTTGGCATTATAGGGTTAAAAGACGACATGATTTACGTCCAAACATCTACATTTGGTTGAAAGGTGAAACAGGGAAAGCCATAATTTTCAGATTGTTGAAAGTCTTTTAATGGACCAAAGTGGGACAAAATCAGACCGACCAAACACGGCCCAATTTTCACCATGTATTTCCTGGACTAAATCAAGACCATTCCGGACCAACCAGATTTAGCATAAAAACGAACGTCTAAATGACATCTGGTGTTTGAGGGGAAGGGTCTCTAAGGGTCTCTACTGCTAGAGAACGGCCCCTCCAATTTACTCCCATAACAGCCATTAGACATTTTCTACAAGCCTGCTGGTTGCTCAGGAGTGATGACAGGAATACCGATTGATAAGCATGGTGGAGATTCTGTGGTGCAATTGCCCCACTTCCCTGTTGCCCTGGAAGGTTGTGGGAGTGCCTGGCATCTTTTACCCTTTGATAAACCAAGTTAATCATGACATAAGGCAAAACACATCCTTTTTTATGGTCATCTCACTTCCAGGGTCCAATCATACAAAAATCCTGTAGATATGAGGTGAAAAGTGAGGAACTAGAACTCTCTACAAGTAGAGATTATCCAAAGAGGAACAGTGTCCAACCTTGATAAATGATGGATCTGTGTGTAGACCTGTCTCAGTGTATTCTCTTTATCAGTTTGTATGAAATCGTACGAAAAGTTATGCACAATATTTTGTAGGTTTTTGACGTGTTTTATTTTTCATCGTATTTCGTCGTATTTTTACGTCTTGCCTCAAGACAAGATATCAGTGCGCATGCGCATCTTACGCACCATTGAATAACATACAATCTAACATACAATTAACCCTAACCCTAACATACAAAACAGCAAGCAACCTAGTGAGAGACATCATGAAGTAATTATTGCACTGTGGAAAGCTCGTCCGTCCCAGTTTTACGTCCGTCTACTGATCTGCTTTTTTCGTCTGGCTGGCTGTGCATGCGCACTGATATGTTTTTTCGAGGAAAAAACGTCAAAAACCCACGAAATACTGTGCATAACTTTTTGTACGATTTCATACGAACTGATAATGAGAATATGTTGCCTGTCTAGAGATAGACTAGAACACTCTTAGTAAACACTGCACGCTAATTGAACAAGACATTGTCATCAACATCAACATATACGAGATTGATCCAATCTCGAAACATGATTTGTTCTAAAATGTCTGTTTATGGGATTATGTTCCCAAGGAAAGTAGAAAGTGGTACATCATGATCAGAGAATGAATTTGTTGTAGTTGACAGTTCAAGGATACTCACCACCAGAAAATACTAGAAATTATTTGACTTTGATGTCCAGAGTTCTTTTTTTTTTTTTTATCTGTTTTTCAATTTTGAAATGTCCTTCTTTTCTATCTTTTCTTCGGCAGGGGGTGAACAGTATGTTCCAGGTGTTTTTGACTGGAAACAATTCGGAATACTTTACCATCTCCCCCACAGCGGTTCAAGGGCGTGCTGACATCCGCGTGAGGGTTGCCTTGCCACTAGATTATGAACAGATTCGGAGCTACAGCTTTTCGGTGAGTTTTCCTTTTCATTTTGGGTGCTTTTAGTATGTCTAAGTAGACATACATAATTATACTTGTGTTAGTACAGATGAATTAGATGCACCATTGGGTAATACACCATATATTACAGTTTAAAAGGAAAATTTTAAAAATGTGATCCTTTTGAACCAAAGTTATTGTGAATGTCTTAGTTGAATTTACTTGGTGGTAGGTTTGGAGACAAAAGTTACTATATTTATTGAAAATGAAAGTATGTACCTTTTGGGGGCCATATTCAAAGAAAGAATAAAGTTGCAGCAATCTTTTGCATATTTATGAAACTTCACTGCAACCACTGGTACTTGGTAATTGTTTCACTCTCACCTGCTTGTATACCTAAAACCATGAGGAAATGTCATAACGACACAGTGGATGGTGTACTGCTGAGGATAAAGACCAGGGTATTATTAAATTTTGCAGCCTGGAACTGTTGGATGATATATCATCACCAAAAGTGTTGTTTTACAGTAGATGTTGATACCTATAAGTGTTCTGAGCTCCTTTTTCCTGCAATAAACATTACCATACAAGGCAGAGCATTGATGTGCACTAAGAGGAAACTAGACTCGGTTCTCTACAATGGGATCTGCCAATGTGTCCAAGAATTTCATCTCAATTCGTAATGACAGATAGGCTGTCAGTGAAACACAAGCTCATTAGAGTTTTTCTTGTTTTTTAAATCTGTTGAAGGTTTTCCTTCCCCCGATAATTACTGAACATTCTTTGGGGAGTGGCAGCCTAGTGGTAAGAGCGTTGCGCTTGGATTCCTGGGGTTCTGAGTTCAAGCCCCACTACCACGGACTGCCACTCTGAGCAAAGAGCCTTAAAGGAATAGTACACCCAAAACATGATTAGCCTTCATTTTCTACTCACCCCCATGCTGAACAACACTCTGGAGTACTTTTTTGATATCTCAAATGCATCTGGAGATCTGGGAGGCTTCTTGCTGTCTGCTGACATTCAAATAATGGAGGTCTATGGTGCCCGAGACACAAAGGTCCATAAAAGTCCACAAAAAACGTGTCAATATTCCTCCATACTGCTCGTCCAATGTATTCCAAGTGTCCTGAGTGGGTAGCATCCAGAATTTACTCGAAACGAAGTCATTTAGAATGTTTTTAGAGCATAAACAGTAGTGCATAGGATTTCCTGAAAGGGCGCACCTGCACGTTCATGACGCTACGGAAGCCGGCAGACCAAACCAGATGAAAGTGCGCATTCAGCGCCTGCTCTGCCGATAATGCAAGCGTAGAAGAAGAAATGTGCTGTTTACCTGAGCAAAGAAAGAAACAACGAAAGAAAAATGTCTGAGGACTTCAGTGTTGAGGAAGAGCATGAGTTCTTTGCCGAGCTGAATGTTATGCACCGTAATTTCGTACGTTTTTGACGTTTTTTTCATCGTATTTCGTCGTATTGTTACGTCTTGCCTCGAGACAAGATATTCTTGCGCATGCGCATCTTACGCACCATTCAATAACATAGAATTTAACATACAATTAACCCTAATCCTGACCCTAACCCTAAGATACAAAACAGCAAGCAACGTAGTTAGAGACATGAAGAAGTAATTATTGCACTGTTTTTCCCAGTTTTACGTCCGTCCGCGGATCTGCTTTTTTCGTCTGTCTGCCTGCGCATGCGCAGTGATCTGTTTTTTCGAGGAAAAACGTCAAAAACGTACAAAATACTGTGCATAACTTTTCTTACGATTTCATACGAACTGATAATGAGAATATGTTGAATAGACAGATAGAAGATAAACGAGTGCAGACTGAGGAACAGCTAAGATACTGAGAAGAACGCTTAAGCTCCCAGGCCTCTGGTAGAAGACCTTAGCCTGAGATGAAGAAGCGCTGCCCAGGAATTACGAGGAAGAGAGATTGAAAATAAGATGTCATCAAACGTTTTGTACTGAATACAGTAGTAGCCGTTCAAATTGTCCCCTCTTTCCTTGCTGGGCCCTTGGCTGGTACCTTGGATGGTCCCTTAGAATTCCTTTTTAAACATTAATATTTGTACTAAAATACCCTTTCTGTCGTGATTTGTGGACATTAAGATCTAAAGAGAAGCGTTAACTCCCGGTCAGACCCTGTAATTCATTGAAAGGGTGGCGTCAGAGTAAAAAAAAATGCAAGAGGGGGTCACTCCAGTGGCTGGAAGAAGTTGGAGGGGATTTTGCTAGGAGTTGGAGGGAAGTTGGCTACCATTCGGCTGGCCTTTGACTGGGAACGGCCATTTTGAATGGCTGTTACTGTATGTAAAACTATAAAAAGGCAACACTCTTGGCAATATAGTTTATGTTAACTTAGTTAACTACTCTATTATGCTGAGGCTATAAGCTATTCTCTCCATGTACTGCATTGAGCTAACTGTGAAGGGCAAGTGGTGAGATGGGATTAAGCCTTAATGTGTCTGAATGTCATGCCTTTTATTCAATATGTTACATAAGCGTGTCTTTCTTTTATTAAATAATTAAATCATCTAAACTTGTTCTTTACCCTCCCGTTTGTTCTACTAGCTGTATGCCAATGAGTCCATGTCAGATCATGTGGGGTTTGCTCGTGTTTTCATTGAACTGATCAATGAAAATGACAACCGGCCCATCTTCAGCAGACCTCTGTATAACATCAGCCTTCCTGAAAACACCGCTCCTGGTACATCACTGGTGCAGATCCTGGTGAGTAGAGTATAAATTTACAGTGTCTCCTTACCTCGGAATGTTCTAAATTAGTGATCAGCTGGGTTTCATTTACGGTTATACATAAAAAAAGAAAAAAAAATACTTTAACATAAAGAAGCGTCCAGCAGAAAGAGCATCTGCAAGGACTGACTGGGGTTTTAGCAGCCAGAGGCTTTAAAGTCATGAGTTTTCTACATGTTGTTTTATTAGGAGTGAAACTCCTTGGTTGTCCCTAAGTTGTAGTTTGGTCATCTTAACTTTTGCACATGTTGGATTGTTTGCTGCCGTTAAATCCAGGTTACCTCAGATGAGAGTACTGGTCTGGGTTATTTTAATGACATTCATTGCATTCGTTTCAGTACAATCCACTGGAGTATTTTCGGCCGTTTGCCTTTGCAGAGGATTGTTTTGGCAGGATAAAGGATTCTGATGATTATCCTGAAACTGCCGCTTATAGCTGGAAATTAAATCTTTCTGTTGTACATTTAAACCTGCTTGCTGGTAACGAAAATGAAGCCCATAAAAGCATTGTAGAAATAACACATTAAATTGGATTTCTATTACGTGATTGTCTTAACATCAGCTAATATTGCAGATGTTAATAAAAAAAATACATAGAGAACTGTCTTTTTTTCCCCCAAGGCTTTACTTTGTTGGTTTTCTTTCTACAAGGTAAACTGATCTTTAAAGTACTTCATTCTGTACTCAAGCTTTCAGTTTCTATTGGCAGTAGCAGCAGCAGCCATGTTTTAACTATATCGGGAAAGATCTCCAAGTGTTGCCCCATAACTCTGCATTATTATTCATTACCAGTCACTTCTGTGACAATTCACAATCCACTAGATACAAGTGCCAAAAAGCATGGTGTGAAAATCAATAGTGTTTATAGACTGGGTGCTCATGAAATGGAGATTGCATGGCCTAATACCCAATACGTCTTGCTGATGTTGGCCCCATGCCGGGGTGTGTGGCCTGCCTTTGAATCCTGATTGCTGGCGGCCAAGCGCAAGCAGACTGTAAACAGAATGGGATGAGACACTTTGTGTGAGATCTCTGCTCTGGCATCATCTCTGCGCTGCTTCTGTGGAGGAAAACAGCTCCTGAAAATGCAAGCTTTTCTGCAAATATCGTTAATGCTTCTGGTTTGATTACTGAAATACAGACACAAATCCAAGTTTTATTGCAGTTATGTTATACTGCAGATAAATATTTAACTTTTTCAGAGTCGTATAAGTACTGCCAGTTTAGTGTTTACTTATCCATAATTTAACGAGGGAATTAGAAAAAAATTCTGGTCTTTTTTAAGAAAGATGTGTCATCAAGGAGAAAATATAATTAATATAGAAACAGGGTGTTTTTTGTTTTGTTTTTTGTCAATGATGACTAATGTATTTTTTTTCACTTACCGTACATATGTATCATCATGAATTTAGTCTAAGCATAAAATTATACATCTTTAAATGTTTCAGTGCAATCCCAAATCCTCCTACATGCTTACTTCAAGTATTCACTGAAATGATTTGTGCTTTTAGTGCATAAAACTCAAAATAAAATCTGACAGATTTTATGTGGAACCATGGCTGCTCTGTAACTAAACTCACAGATTACAACATTGAGAAATCTACAGAATTCTTCTGGTTCTAAAATTGATAATAAAATGAAATAATAATTAATCATTTAAAAAGTCCTAGTTTCCTCTTAGTGCACAAAACAAATAATTAATTGAACTCGCATTGGAGATATTTACCTCTGCATGTAACCCATCCCCTTGGGGAGCAGTGGGCTGCCATTGTGTGGCGCCCTGTGAGTAATCAGGGGTTAAGGGTCTTGCCAAGGGATCCAGATTGGAGGCTGTGAGAATTGGACTAGGTACTTGACACATTCTCAGAGCTCAAGCACACTACTCTAACCCACACACTTTATACTTTATACACTTTTTTGTTTTAACAACATAGTGCTATATCCTCACAGTAGTTCACCAAATATTTTACAGGATTAAAGTTAAGTAAATAAAATAATTAGTATCTTAATAATTCCCATTAAATGTGTAGACATTTTTCATTGTTTTTATGTAAATTGATTATGTCTCCATGTAGTGAAGTTTATGATTCTCTACCATTTCTATATCACAAATAAAAGCTCATATTTTAATGGGAAATATAAAATTATTATTTCTATTATACTTTTCTTTTAAAGTTTGATCCAGAAAGACCAAATAAAATCCTTGTAGTTTTTTGTTGCAGGTAAACACCCAGCCTCTATAAAACAGTTTAAATTACCCAAAAAAAAAATGTCATCCATCCATGCTTTATTATAAAAAGCTAGACATGTTTTTTTTTGTTTTGTTTTTTTTTTTTGGGGGGGGGGGGCAATGTAGCTCTAGAAATAGATATCCCAGAGCTAGATGATAGCCCAGCAGAATTGCTTTCACAAGCACAACGGTATGACTTTTACCATAAGATTCAGCTCAGTACTTGTAGATTAAACTTTATAAAAAAAATTATTTAGGGAGTAAAATCGTATACAACGGACTCAGACAGGAAAGTGAGAAAGAAAGAGGGGATAATAACTAAGGGGACAGAGAAACAGAGACAGGAAAGAGTGCATGAAAACAAAAAATAGACAACAGAGAAAATATACATTAACTCCTAAAATTCTGATTCCACACCTGGATGAGATGAGAAGGAAAGAAAAAAGAGATCAAAAAAAGCTTTCAGAGCAACAGTTATCCCTTAGATATTTGTGTGTGTCAACGTCAAAACCTACGGTGATTCCAAAATATTACTCAGGGTGGTATATATCTGTAGCTGTATCGCTGAACACTTGGGACCAAACTACTCTGGTGTGTATGCATGGGAATGCTCATGTATTTACAAAGCTACTTCAGAAGGAAAATGTGTCTAATAGTAGGTGTGGCTGGCCCCAGACTCGCCCTACAGGGCCCTGAATAGAAAGAGAGGTAATACTGGCCCCGGATATCCAAACGTCCACTGGATCAATGGGACACAAGATAGGCAGACTTAGGAATGGCTGCACCCACCAGAGAAGGGCAGACTAGAGCACCTGAGGGCCCAAACCCCAAACCGCCCTATCCCCGAGGGCCCGACTGTAGTGGTCATAGTGCCGCCTCCACTGGAGGCCAGTAATGCCCAATATGGACCTGGGTAAGAGCTCAAGGGTCAGAGGGCAGGAGGCCTATGGGAAACCCAGCAGCCACCAGGAATGGGACAGTGCCCATCGAAGTACCCAATCCGAAAGAGTCTTTGGGCTAAGCTAATACGGTGGTTTAAGTCCTCTATGCCCCCATATGTGACTCACCTCTGATCCCAGATCCAGATGCTTCTTTAAGTTGCAGTTATTTCCTATTGGCTTTGTGGACTTTTTTATATTTTTACCCCAAACTAAATATTTAAAAACAGAAAGTATGTCAGTATTCAATTAGATTTTGGTTAGACAATCTGTGTTTATATTAAATATAAGTGGATTAAACTTCAACACAGAACATGCTCTCTCTAGGCAGCCCGATAGTGATTAAACCCACAGTCACTGGTCTTTTGAGGCCACCTGTTTGTTAATTCCGGTATAAAATTAACATTTACTTTATATTTGTAGCTTCAGGCTTAAATAATGTGTTTACATATTTCTGTTTACCTTGATTGGCAATAATTGATTAAGTTCCACAGCTGCAATCTACTAAAGGTCCAGTGTTTATTTGAAGGCTCAGGTCTGATTAAACAAACCAAAGCTGCTTCGTACATAAAGTGTGGGAACTATGAGGTATTTTTGCTCAGAATAATGTCCTTGTTATCTTGTTTGATTTAGCTGATCAGTGGGAATGGATCCCGTCTTATGACCCTTACACCAGCGGCGTAGGAAGCGGGGGGGACGGGGGGGACATGTCCCCCCCAATATAAAAGCCAGGTGGATATGTCCCCCCCAAAAATTGTACCGCAAAATATTAGATTTTGACAATTTTTTAACTATCGTGCTTTTATTTTGAAGGCGCAGCATAGCGTTACGTCACTGTACTCCCCCTCCCCTCTGTGAACTGTTCAGTGTTTGAGCACTCAGAGGGAAACAGCGATACAGAAAGCCAGAAACTTGTGAATGAGGTAAAATGGTCTGTCGGGAATGCTGCTATGAATATTGCTTATTTATAACGTCTTGTTGTCAGTTCACTTTCATATATAGAAACTGAATCTTTTTGGTTTAGTCATCTTAGTCTTGTAGGAAGAGGATTAGGGCCACTGAAAAAAGTTAACTGATTTTTTAATTTTTTTTAGTTTAACATGGGGGAAAAAGTCAGAATTCTGACTTTTCTTAGAATTCTGACTTTAATCTCAGAATTTTGACTTTTTTCTCAGATTTCTGACTTTAATCTCAGAATTCTGACTTTTTTCTCAGAAATCTGACAGATGATTAATGTTTCTAATCAATTTACAGTTTTTTTTGGTGGTGGTGGGGGGGGGGGGGGGGGGTACTATACAGATATATAAAAACAAGAAGGTCTAACTAAAAAATAACCAGAATATATGTTTAGAGTAAAGATTGACTACTTGTGTTTACACAAGCACACAATTTCAAATCTGCTGAGCTTGCTGTGCAAGAAAATGTAAAATATATGTATAAAGAAATATAACAGGAAGTACTGCTAAAACAAACTAAATGTTAAATAATGTAGATATTGGTTTAAAAAATTCTTCAGATTTGGAAATTTGGAAGGAATACATAATTCTGAAATTAATCAACAAATTTGGTTAAAAAAAATAAAAAATAAAAGTTGCACTTTTTTACTTGAGGAATTTGTTGAATAACTTCATAATTATGAGTTTAACTAGTTGGAGGTAATGCTACACTTCTCTGCTTCCTGTCCTGCTCATAAAAGGTAAACATTATAAACCACCATTAATTTTCTACACTATTTGGAAAACACAACACAAATGTAATATAACAAAAGTATGTTTAACAACAAACATGTTAGCATCAAGCCATAGCCA